AAAATTTAATTAGTAAACCTATCAATTTAGACAATTTCTCCAAATTTCTGCCCGTCAATAAATACTCTCATATGTTATACAAGTACATGTAAATGAATGGCTCAGTTGTTTGTGTATTTTTCCATTAAAAGTTGTTTTTATATGTACATGTATTGTTTATGTGTTGTTTATGGTTGGTTATTGTCGCTGGTTACATATTCTGTGAATTTTGTGTTTGAATGAGATTATGTGATAATGAGACATAGGAGTGATTACCCGAGCCACGCGAAGGCGTGAAGCGAGGGTAAAGCAGTCGTTTTGTCTGTGTGTTCGCTTGATCTCCACTTTTGAGCTGACACTGCTGTCTTGTGAAATCATGGATAGCCTTATAATCAAAACTAGCTATAGAAAAAGTTATTCTTTGTCTAGAAATTGGCTTGACCCGTCTTCCCGAGGTAGAGAAAGCTCACAATATCGCCAAATGTAGTCGGTACAAATATATCTTTTTCGTGGTGAAAGCTAAGAAGCAGCAAGACAAATGAAGCAATAGAACAAAGCCTCATCTTTAAATAATATGAAATTGCTCCAATTGTCTTCGTTTTAAAGATATGATAGCCCAAACTTTCATACCTTGTGAGTTTAGACGAGGCTCTCTTCTCCCGAAGTAGCGGCCAGAGTCTCTAAACACCAGAGACTAGATAGCAGTTTGTATGCAACAAATAGAGCCTAACAAATGTAAGCTAAACTATTTAAAAGTCGAGAAAAACTAAAGCTTTCTTCACCACTTATGGCCATGTGCCACCATTACTGTGTGTGCGGGTGGAGCATGGCTTGATTGAGCCACACCTTCATTGCAGCCACACCTTTACATTGCTGCAGCTAGCAGCAAACATGCTGGAGCTTCTTCTCTGTCTAAAAATACAAATTAATCTCTGTCTCAAAACATTCACTAAGTTTTACTAAATCTAGTACATGCTGTAGCTTATTCTCAGTCTCAAAACTTTCACTATTTTCTCATAATTTGTTAAAACTGTTACATATATACATATTGTGGCGAGGGTACGCACTTTAGTGCTCTCGTTAATATTACTATTATAATAACTGTTAATAATACACTCATTCACTTGTTAATACTGTAGGACCAACAGTTGTATTTTGCTGCTCAAGATGGAAATATTGAAAGAATGAGGTAGGGTCCGCAACGTGAAAAATGAAGTTCAGCAAAACAAAAACTTACTTATATCAATGTGTTGTACTTTTTATCCTGATTATAAATCTGCAAGAATTTTTAAAAATAAATCATCTGTTAAGTAGAAAATTCCAATAGTTTGAAAAAGTTGGGCACAGTTTCATGAGGGTTAATTTAAAACTCCGCCCTTCTCTACCCAAAAGGTGTGAGTACTCTGGCCAGTTGCTTAGGACACTTTGAGAGGGTCTATACTTTGTTGTAAGTCACTATAGATAAGTGCCAAGTGGATAGCTTTGTATTTACTACGGTGTTAATTTTAGTGGGTGTTTGTGGCAGCATGGCTTGGTGTCTTGTCATGATTGTATCTCCATGTAGCTATAGCAAGGATGATTCCTCATATTGTTTTTAGATAGAGGGGTGTTTGAATATTGCAGGGATATACTTATAAAAAAATGGGAACTGTCTACACTGCAAAAATTTTAGTGTACTGTGAACACCAAATAAAGTGTATCACGCTTGTCCCAATACAGACACTATATCTGGTGTATCATATACTCTTGTATTAAGTGTATTGCACACAATTGTTTAAGTGTACCAGCCACCCTTTTAAGTGTACCACAACCACTTGTATTGTAAGCATTAAATGATTCCACATTTCAAAATGAAAGTAAATAACTGAAAAAAATGCAAAAAGTACTGACAGTTACAATGACAAATTGTTCAGAGCTGCCATAAAATGCTGAACAGTAGATGGCATACTGCTACCAGTGACAGGAAAGAGTAATGCTTCAAAAAAAGCAAAGACGTTGTGACAGCCTTTGATGTAACATATGTTAAAGACAAAATAAGCTGCCACAATATATAAAGGTATGGCATCCAAAGGAACTTCTCCAATTAAGTTGCAATCCACAGCAAGGAAGGCTTGTTCTGGAGAATGAATATTTCCCGTCACAAGAGCAAATGGTTGGGGTTGCTTCCTTTCAGATATTATTGATGACAAATTGGAAGCACCCTACATAATACAAAATAAAAAATAAATATTATTGTGCATTATGTCTCACATTTGTGAAGTATATCATCTTTTCACTATCTGGTCTTGTCTTATCTGGTAGTAAGTAAGTTAAGGCAATTACAGACAAAAGAGAATGGTTACCTAAGAAACAATAGAACACTTACAGATTTAAATGCAAACCTACAATCACTAGTTTCCCATTCCTCTAATTTGTCCCTTAATCTCTTGTTATGTGATGCCTCTAATGTAGCCTGTTTCATTATCCTTATCTGCATTTCTGTCCACTTCACTTCTCCTTTTATATTCCATTCATCATCATCTGCTATCCTACACATCTCAAGCATAAGCTAAAATTAAATTACAATATTATATTATTTACAAACAGCTCCATTACCTGTTGGACATTACCAAGAAATGGGTACTTCACAAATAAAGTACAAACATCACAAGGATTTTCAATTATATCTCTTCGTCGCATTACAAAGGTTGACGCCATCAATTCCGTGACTACTTGCATATTTGGGGAGGATTTTTTATGCTCA